GCAGGTGAGGGTGTGAGCAGCGCGGCGCCCGGTCTTGCCTTCTCCCCTTAGCGCGCGTGTCTTGCTGCGAGCTCGCGCGCGCCGCGAGGTGTGTGGCGGGGTATGCGCGTACCTTGCGCTAAGAGCTTTCCCTTTCTCTCCCAGGCGCTGGGGCAGAGGAGGCACGTTTGTCTCGGGGACAGCTTCTCGGTAACCTCATCCTCCGCTGTACATTTATCGGCACATACTGAGTAGCGGAATGTCCTCAAAGAAGAAAGTGAAGATAAATGCTTCCAGGAAGGAACGACGGGTAAGCTTTGCTCACCGAGCAGAACCAGGCAGGCGAGCGGTTTGTTCTTCCGTGCGCTCGTGGGCGTTGGCTCTGGAGGTGGATGCACTGGTGGTAATGCGGGGCTTGCTTGGCACGGGTGCTGGGAGCTGTGCAGCCCCTCCTGGGGCAGGTTCGGGGTGCGCGGGGTTTTCCTTCTCTTTTTTCCTTTTAGGAGCCGTACGTCATCCGGCAAAGTGGGCCATGGACTTAAAGTTTTAAAACAGTCTTGTAAAATTAAAGAGAGCAGCTTATAGAGGAAATAGTTGATGTGTCTATATTTGGTACCATAACAAATCTTGTGAGGCACGGCTAAGTGCTGGTAAAATTAAAAGCTCAGGAAGCTGGTGTTTTCTTGTCATAATAATATAATAAACACACACAAATCAATGAGGCAAATCACTCCCACCCTTATGGTGTGAATAACACTTTTACAAATATTTCATAAACTACTGCCATTCTCTTCTACCCTCTCCTGCCTTGCAGAAGCGTCTGTGTAATACTTGATTTATAAATTCCACTCTATAAGAAGTTACATCGTAGCTTTTCAGTTTTTTAAAGTGAAAATATTTAAGTTGGACAAGGATGGAAATCTATGTAATATAGAGAGGAATGAAGAAATATTTTGATGCCTGAAAAGAAAAAGGCCACAGATCATAGAAACCAGATATTAGACTGTTATAAGAGTTCTATGCTTATACACCTAGTTTTATAAAATAAGACAAAGCTCGCACTACAGAACATTATCGAATTGCAGAATATATCAGCTTTATACCATCATTTCTTTCAGGGGGAAAAAAACATAGCCTGAGGAAAAAACACATGCTTTGAATACTTCATATCATAGATCAGCAGTCTTGGTTAAATGTATTTCCAGTCAAACGTTCTTGAAATTCATTGTCATACTTAATCTGTTATACACTCAAAAAGCTGGATGAACTACCTATTGCTTTCATACCCATCCAGGAGCACAAAGCCAACTCCCATCCTCGTCGCAAATTACTTCCACTTGAGGAACCAGATGTCTCAAGGATATTGAAGGTAGCGGAAGCAAATCAACTCGAGGAGCTTGATGATTCATTCGGTTAGTATTAGCTTGAATGTCATTTAATGTATGATTTTCATGAACAAACCGTATGGGCAAAATAGTTCAAGGCTTACCTAGGAAAAGGTATTGTTTCTTTCCCAGAGAAAGTTATGGGCAGGAGAGACAGAGGTTTTCTGTCGGTAAGGAAGTAACGAGAATAACGCTGTAATGTGTAAAAGTCAATGGAAGAATACTGGCTATTCAGGTTTTATAGTCAACGGTAGAATTTCACAAAATATAACATTGCAATTGTGTAAGGATTTATATTTAAAAAATAAAGTTCAATATCTTAAGTTATTCTCTATTTAATTACACAAATTATGAAATTGAACTTTTGCTATTGTAAGGCTATTTGTGGCAGCAAACTTCGACCTTCATAGCAATGTTGTTCTGCCACTTTCAAATTTTACTTAAAAAAGTAACATCCTAAAAACATACTATCTTTGTTGAAGCAGTAAAACCACTTTCATGCTCCATATGGGACATGTGCCTCCGTACACTGGAAGAGAATCAATTTAGACAGAATAGGTGCCCCTGTGTGAAGTCCTCTGTTGTTAAATATATATAGTTCTTCTGTGTCAGTGCCAGTAAGAAAAATATTTGAAAAACTGTGTAATTAAAAGTTATAGAGAAAATGCTAAGAGCTGTTTCTCAGCTGTAATAGTTATTACTCCAAGAAAATTGTGGAAATATGCATGTAACTGCTAGAAACAGCATTGAAAATCAGCTATATAGAAGAATATAGCAAAAGGGCTGTTAAGGGAAAGGCTGGAAAATTAAAAGCTCTTCTTTTCCTCACTTCTGTGGTATGTATTAAAACCTGTGGTATATATATTTGTGGTATACATACCACAAAACTGTGGTATGTATAAAAAGGATGCCTGCTAACACTCATGTAAGCCAATGCTAAATTTTTGTGGCAATGTGCTTGAAAAAGAAATCCGTACTATGGAAGGCATACTAAAACCTTAAAGTTCTCAGAGTTCTAATCTATTTGGTAGCTACTGTCAAGAATTCTACATTTACAAACATTCTACAGCAGCTGTAACTGCATTCTTATGGCATCCAATAAAGCAGCTAAAAATCTGTACTAAAAAAAAAGATAAAATTTAGAAAGCAGTTGTTTAAATGTATAGAAGATTGATGTATACCATAGCAAAAAGATTTTAAACTGTACAAAATGTCTCCTTGCTATATGCCATATGCATATGCTGAGCTTTCCTGCACCTTTGGTTTTGGTTTGTAAAGGAATAGCAGAGGGATAAGTACAGAAACTATGAAGTTTTTCACTATATATTATTTTTCCCAATCCTCAAATAACACTTCTAACAAGACCTCCTTTGTGTTAGTGATCAAACCACAAGTATTCCAACTAAATGCTTAATGGCAGGCAGTGCTAGCATGTCCATGCTCTTTGCCTGAACAGATGGGAGCAATTTTCATACAGCTTATTTTCTGTTCTTTACAGATCACCCTTTGCACAGTACTGCTGTGGATGCTTATGGAGAGGAACATTTGCAAAACGAGTCACTTGGTCATGTTTCAGCACCGCAAAGGGAAAACACAGAAAGGAGGTCTGGTGAAAAAAAATAATTGCCAGCATTTAATTCAATCTTTAGATTTTTAGATTATAGGAGATAGGAAAAAGTGTTCTGTTTGTCAGGTTTCCCTAGCTGCTTATTGAACAGATGCTTTAACTTAAAATTTGCCAGATGAGAAACCAAAAGAGTAAGTAAGCTTGAGGAATGTAGAGAAAAGAAATGGGAGACTAAATTAGTCTGCATTCTGTAAGCAGTACATTGATTTAAGTACTTGCTGTATTTTTTTTAATATGAAAGGATTTTAAAGTACCTCTGTGAGGTATCAATTAGTTCTCTGAATGCTGTTGTCTAAAGTTAAAAGGTAGAAAAATTGCAAAATAAGTAGAAGCCGGTTAAATTACATGTAAGAAAGTAAGTAATTTTTAAAATCTTTTAATGCCAGTTTTTAGTACATTTCTCATTTGTTCAATCAAATTTCATTTCAGTCTGGATTAGTTCTTATTTGAATGAAATAGCAAGGCAATAATAGTGCTTGTATGAGAGTATTTGTTTGTGGGTGTTTTTTTTTTTTTATTTCCAACCCCACCCTCCACCAAGAAAGCCACCTCCACTCCTGCTAAAATCTCCTCAGTAATAATTCTGTTTCTGCTTTGAAGTTTCGGCTCAGTACAACATGGCTATCGCAGTGTTCAGTTAGTAATCGATTTCTAAATTGTTGTGAGGGTTGCTGTTGAGGGATAAAGATTCTGTTCCCTTTATATGCCATTTGCAACTTTTTGTGTAGTCTATTTAAGGAACACAAACAAAATGACATAGCAGTACAAAATGTTCCCCAAAACACAAGATTTTGTTCTGTATATGGTTGAAGATCATTCTTTCTTGGTGTGTAGTGGGTTTACATGTGGATGTTTTTATTTTCCTAGTAAAAAAAGGCATCGCTCAATAACGTCTGATGGCGATGTTCAAAAATTCACCAGAGCTGATCCTGAAGATGAACCCCGTAAAGAGAATACGGTACAGAAAAAGTTGCATGAGTATTGTCAGTCAATTTAATTTTAACTTACTTTATGCCATGCCTGCAATAGAGTGGGGGAGATGACGACCTTTCATTTGTTTCTTAGTACTTAACTGTATCTGAAATAGTTAACCCTCAGAGTATTCCTGTGATATGGCCAAGCAAAATGCTTAAAGCTACAGTCATGTCAACAGGGAATAGACTAGCCAGGTACTCCTGGATCCTGTAGCCCATTCTCTTGCTCATTTGGGAATACGTTCTCCTCTTTCTTTACCTCTTCTTTCCTCATATCTGGAATATATGTTCTTAAAGAATGGCATACTAAACGGAATATAAATCCTTTGTATTTGTTCAGTATTGAAGTAAAACATATTTATGAGAGAATTGAATTTTTATTGATAAAATTAATTTTGAATACATGTTAGAATTAAGCAAAAACCACTCAGTTTTGAATGAGTGTTTTTGCATACTTAGACCACAGTTAGTGTAAAATGCCTTTGGCCCACTTACCATCCAGGCATACAGGGGAATTTAACTACCTGCGGAGTTGAGAAAGTAGGCCTGTGATAAAAGAAGCTGTGCAGTAGCTTGCGGAAAAGTTTTTTACATATTGAAATTTACTGGAATTGTTTAAAACCGTGTTGTAAAGTTCAGTACAGAGTGTTAGTCTTTCATCAGTCAACTGCATGCACTCTTGTAGAGTGCTGTCGGTGTCACAACGTTGTCAAAGTAGCGACAGAACTGGGACAGAATGTGGGTGAAAAGGGAGGCGAGCAGGCGCTGTTCATCAGAGAACTGTTAATACTGGGCGATGGCTGTGCTGAAGCGAGGGTCCGTATGCTCCTTAGAAGGTTTCTACTCCTGCTGCACGGCCAGTGGCTGACGTGTCAGTTGGGCAGCGGGGTCAGGCAGCTGCTGTCCCTCCGCGGCGTGAGCACTGTGCTGTGGTTCTGTCGAAACCGCCCTAAGTGAATGTTACTGATGTTTCAGGCAGGAAATGCTTTCCTGCACTCTTGTCTAATTGCCATCTCTCAGAATTTTAAATGAGTAAACCTAGGGGATTTTTTGGAAGTTAATCTGCTTTTTATATCGCAGAAGGCCCTAAATACTACTCAATTCCAGGTGAAAAAGAAGCGGCCTTCAGAGAAGAACGCGTCAGATCCTTCTGGTAAAGTAAACCTTTAAAGTAAACCTGGCTGGTGTGCCACACAGCTCTGATCCCAATGGTTTGCATCCCTGGACTTGACTATTACTCCCCTGAAAGGGTAAAGCATAGGTGTGCGTTATCGCTCGCACGCAGCCTGGTCCCCTTTGGAGGGAAGCCTGGGACCATGGGTATAGAGCTGTAAGACCCTTCAGTACATCCCTTGGTCTGGAAGCCTGGAGCACCAGCTGTGGGGCAGAACTTGGAGTGCCCCTAACTTAGAGCATAGGCACAGCTGTTCGCATAAAGACCTTTGAGCTAGGGAGCTTCAAGGCAGTGGCATTTTTCGGTAGCGGGACACTGTTTCTCAGGTGTCATCATGCTTCCTTTGAACGGTACCCCGTCACATTCAACTCCTAGATTTACATCTGGGAGTGTGTGAAGAAACATGGTTTAACTTTTTGTGGAATTAGTTGGTAATACTATTGTAAAGTTTAAAGAAACATATTTTTATATAGCTTTTTTTGAAGCATATATAGTATTCATGCAAAATGTATACAAATATAACAACTCATGATTCTTTGAGTATTGCAGGTTGCCCAAACTCAGGCTAATAGTTTTTACAGCACAAACAGCTATATCTACAGTACCCTGTGTAGTTTATGAGTTAGTTCACTAACGTGCTCCTGGACTTGCTTGAAATGATGAAGAATAAGAAATAAGTTGTATATGATTGATCATCCAAATTCTAAGGTGTTTTCCAGATAAATCTATCATAGTTGCTCAGCCAAAGACAGATGGAATAATTCATATATCCCTCTTCTCAAGTTTCATATTAAAATGTTCTTAATTTTTAGATGGTTATTTTAATGGTAGGCACAGTAACTTTTCTATTATTTTAGAACGTGTACCTGAATTGTGCAGTGCTTGTCTTTATTCTGTTGTTTCAGTGGATAGCCCATGTTCTGTACAAGTTTGGTGTACCGAAGAGCTGAAGAGATCTCCTAGAGATATTACAGAACTGGATGTTGTTCTGGCTGGATTTGAGAAGATAGCAGCAAATTACAGGTAAATACTCTGCTTTCCTATCGCTGAATAGTCAAGTAAGCTTTAAAAACAGATGACTTGCGTTTTTGCTAATGGGCCGTCCTTTAGGGAATGCAGTATTGCATAACAATTATTAGGTTTCTGTGATACAAATATTTTTTCATGTGTATTTTGAGGTCGTCTCCAGGGATTTGATATTTTTCCAAATATAAGAACAAAACATCTCAGCTGAGGTTTTTCAGTGTAAAACTTAAGGTATTGCTAGTACATGAAGATATGTAGTTGCCTGTGCTACTGGATGCGCAACACTGGGTTTTATTCATTACTCAAAGGAATATTTTTGAATGAGATTTCTCCTTTACTAAACCAAATGGGTTGTGTTTTGTCCCTCTGACTTCTCCAGACAAGGCATAGAATCAAACATTGCCCGAAAAGCTATCAATGGCTTCTGTTCTGCTTTCAAGGACCAAATCACTGATCTTGTAAGTACACCATAAATAAAATCAATTTTGTGGTAGTGATTATAGAGCTATATATTACATTGTAGTCAAAATGCCTATGGCTTCATAATTGTCCTTTACAGATTTATTTATGATACTCTAAATTTTCTAATCTCTTGTCAAGATAAATAATACGAAAACAGAGTTTGTTGTGTGCAGGTTATGATTTGCTGCCTCTGTGCTGGCTTTTGTGAGAATTGCCTTTAGGCACAACACTGCTGTCATGCAAGTATGTTGCAAAATTGTCAGCTTTTGAGAGCAGAGAAGCATCTAATAATCCTGAAGTGTTTGTCATATCTAAAGCATTATATAGTAAAACTGGTGAGCTGCGTAATTTGAATGAGCAAACAGTTATTTCAAACACTGTTATAAAAGCTCATGGACTAGAGTTTTGAACGATTGATGATTTAATCTTTATTTTGTGTCTCGGTGACGCTTGTGTAGCCTGACTAAGGCCTCTAACATGGTTAGTGAAAATCATCCTTTTTTGATTGACCGTTGGAACCTAACTGTAAAAAGCCTCTTAGCTTGGAAGACTAAGTTTTCTTCTCACTAATTACGACGAGTAAAATAAACTCAGAACTTTGTAGGTGTTTTGATAAGTATAATGGATAAGCACTAAAACTATAGTTCTAAGTGATTCATTAAAATAAGCAAGTTTTAAAATGACTACGTTTATACATTTTATATAAAGTTACAGAAAAATTAAGCTAATTAATTACACTAATGGGTACAAGGAGTATTACCGGTGCAAGATGATAAATTTTGTGCAACAGTCTTCTGGCATGAGGGGAGAGGGAAGAATTCATACACAACTGATACAATTGTAATCTTCCTTTGAACCAGTGTTGGGTTTTTAAAGAGCTCTTCATGTTATTCTGAAGTAATTCTTGCAGCTGTGTTTTTAGGAGGATAGAGATAAAATCAGGATCCATAGTCATGTAATTCTTCTTTTCCTCTGTAGATAGTGGAAGTGCAGGAAATAAAGAATATGAAGCAAAAAAACGCTAAGGTAAATACCTATATATCACTATATTGTACAGCATACAGAGGTGGACACTGACATTTCAAGAAGTTGACTAGAAGAAGTAAGATACTTCACAAAAAAGTGTACTGTACTACAGAATCAACTGCATAAATAGAAGATAGGGAACCACCAGAGGTTTTTTGGAAGAGATCTGAGTAAATATGGATTGCCAACTCCATAGGTATACTGCTATACTGGTGTAAAAAGAAGGAATGCACATTAGGATGTGTGGGTATCTATGTATGTGAATTACTTTTTTTTTTAATGAGCACTGGTGAGGCTGCTGGAGAGCCAATTAAATATTGAGAGCTAACCTTCAAGAAAGGTAGATGAGTATAAAATCTAGGAGAGCAGCAAAGATGGTGACCTGTGAGGGCAGAATTGGATTGCTTAGTGTAAAGGAGAGAAGTCTAAGGGAGCTGCATTCCCTAAATACATGCAAAATTTTTGTTTAGAGGAAGGCAGTTCCTCTGTTCGTGCAGAGTGAGGAGTAATTGACTAAAAATGCAGCAGTGGAATGTTGGCAGGATGAGGAACTAGTGTAAGAGCAGAAAAACAGTGCGGTGGTTTCATCAGGAAGGAGGTGAATGCCCTACAGCAGAGATATTTAAGAGCGGGTTAGGCACTGTCTGCCAGAGGCTTTCTGCCCAGATTAACATCTCGCGCAAACTTTTCGATGATAAAATAGTTTTTAATAAGTAACACCAACAGAAAGCTTATTCTGGGAGGTAGTAATTAATGTGCTAAAGTCTTGTTAATTTGAGGTGATATGGTAAGCTACTCTGCATGTAAAATGAAAATTTTAATACACATCTAGCATTCCCACCCACTCAGTTATCCTTATTTTGCTTCTTATACATTTATTTCAAATCAGATTTGTAATTGCTAAATTTAAATTCATGATTAGTTTTGTTTTTTTAAATTGCTGTATTAAAGAAATCTTAATTATGCTTAGTTGTGGCAATGATACTAAACATACATTCACATTACTCTGCATTTTTAAATCAGAAACAAACAAAAACCTGCTAGAGTTGGTCATGTTTGAGTTCAAAATGTCACAAACTCCTTTTGTATGCTTGTAAATCCAGTGTCCCTTAGGAGAAAAGTCAGACGGACTGAGAGTTTGACATATTAAAGAGCTTTACAGTGTTTAAAATACAAATGTAAAATATGGCAGTTTAAGGTCTGGTGTCTTGGAATCTTCCCAGAATCAGAAGCATAAAACCTCAAAGAAAAAAAGGCAATGAATTTCAGTTGTTTGCCTTTGAAGTTACAGAAACGGTTTCAAAGACTTTCCTCACTGTTTGTTTCAGATGACAGCAGACATTAAAAAGAAAAGGCAGCAACTGTTGCAACTCAGAGAAGAGCTAATTGGGTATGTTTCTAATGATGCACAATAATAGCCTGAAGAACTTAAGGAGTCTGGTATTTTGTAACTCGGAATTGAAAGTAACTTCTTCTTTTCTTTCATTTTATTTTCATGAAACTCTACTTCTGTATTGCTTTCTGTTTTTATCAAAGCTCAGGATAACCTCTCCTTTCCATATTTCAGTTGCCTAGATAGTCATTCTTGCAAGTTCTCTTAGCTAATTAGGTACCGAGATGGTGTTTCAGACCATATGTTCATATGAAAAACGCTAATGTTACAATTGGAATCGCAAAGGGGATGAATCATAAATTTACAAAGGCAATACCAGAGGGCTTTTTTGGTTTTGAGGCAGGAGAATGTGTTTCACCTCTGCAATTTGGCAGGGGTGCCTCTTGAGTACATGGTTTGCTTCCATCTTGTGTGGCCACGCAATTCCCCTTCTCTAACTTGGCATTCATCTTAAGTCTCATTTAAATACACAACACAGAAATCACGTTCTTTGGAAGAACCATTAGACTTCCCCAAATCCAGTTGGTTACTAATGACAAGCTTTATACTGAAGCTGCACGTAACATACACGCTGGAAGTCAACTGTAAGAACAGTGGGCTTGGAGCCACAAAGGCCAATGAAAAGCCCTTTCTCTATGGCCCCAAGAGTCTTGATTTCTTTGCAGTACTATGGGGAGAATTCACTCAACAGAACTAATTAAAGACATCATAAAACCCTCAAGATGGGTTTGAAGCCCCTCACAGATTGAAAGCTGTCTTCACATTTTTTTTATTTGTTGTGTTTTAATGCTTTGAACATCTTACGAAAACTTTTTAGCTGCAACACTGTTAAATGAAAATGGCTGTTGGTGTTGGGTTTTTGGAGTGCTATTTTAGTGGATTGAGCCCTCCAGTTTACCTAGGCAGAGGCGTATGTAGTTTGTAGATCCCAAGTATGCTTCAGCACAAGCACTGATCACCTCAGCCTGCAAGCAGGTGCGTGCAGAAGCAGAACACCAGGTACTTGGGAAACTTCACTTGAAAAACTTCAGTGCTTGAGAGAGAGTGGCTATGTTGTCAGACTCAAAAGAGAGATGTGGAAAAAAATTGCGTTTTTTTGTGGATTTAGACCCATGCTCCTGTTTAAATAATATGCTAGGTGTTCTAATTAAACGGTATGTTTTATTAACCTATGTTTCGTGTTTCTGACCAACCTTTCCCTTAAGTCTTCTTCAGGGGAAATACGTTCATAGTTACTCATGAAATAAATATGCAGATATAGTCATCAAAGCCTTGATCTTTTTCAGAGCTGAACCACAACTGATACAACTACAAAGAGAATATGCTCAGGTACAGGAAAGGGAATCTTCCTTGAAGCAAGCAACTGCATTACTTACTGATTTAAAGGACCTACAGCAAGACTGTTTGGATTATAGAGAAGAAAACCCAAAAGAAAAAGTGGTAGTAAGTACATATTTTATATGTGTTTCTGAACAGTTCTGGATCAGCCCCCCTGCCCTTTTTTTTTCTTTCCTGGACTGATGGGAATTTCTATTAATGTTTAACTTGCATTAAATAGCAAGATTTTGTTAATTGTCTTTGTGGAAGCAACTTGAGAGTCACTGCTGTAACTGTACTGTAGTACGTCACTTTTTTTTTTTTTTTTTTGGTGTTATGTTAGAAACTAAAGCATTTCAGAGAGGACTCTACTACTTTGCTCTCTATGTCCAGGAATTCAAAGACATAGAATCACAACCCTTGTCCTCAGGTCTAGCATTTTTTACAGAAACTGGAGAAAGATTAACAGTGAGAAACAAGTAATCAATTTCTTTTGTTACTGTTGTTCAAAGGTAGG